CACTGCCATCGAGTCAATGCTGACTCATAGCTGCCCTATGGGACAGGGTAGAGCTGCCCTCTGTGGGTTTCCGAGACTGTGCTTGTTTATGGGAGTAGAAAGCCCTATCTTTCTCCTGAGGAGCCACTGATGGTTTTGAACTGCCAACCTTATGGTAAGCAGACCAAATTGTAACCATGACACCACCCAGGCTCCTTATCAGAGGTGTACAGAGGGCTGTTTGGAAAATAACACTTGTGGAGAGTAGAGACTATGCACACCTTGGAATGATCTACCATTTCAGATCAAAGGGCAGCTTTTACCCAAGGGCCAAGTTCACAAGGGTTATTAGGAAAGGCGGACGGATGGAAACTAGAACGCCCATGATGAAGTGGGATACGTGATGTTGCCTTGTGGGCACTTCAATCCATGGGATGGGACAAACTGTATGGATCACTGACTGGAGAAATGATCTGCTCGGTCAACCCTAGCCACAATCAAACGTTAAGTCCTTTAGGCAGGTGGGTGGGAAGTGATGGTTGAGGGTGAGGCCTCTGAGTGAGAGCAGCTCTTACACTCTCCTCCCACCTCCCACCCAGCTTCCGCTTGATGAGTCTCTAAATGCCTTCCCCGCCTGGCCTCTGTTGGTGCCCCTAAAGCCTCTGCCCAAGCGCTGTCCGTCCACTCATCCACTGCTATCACTATATCTCTTTCCAGCAACAGCCTACAGTCCTGGAGAGCCTCATGCCACTGTGTCGGCAATAAACAATAACACCCTACACACACACACACACACACACACACACACACACACATCCCTGCCTACCCTCCCGTCAATGGTGTTAGGAGATGCACTAGACTGCAGTCTTCCTCTCTCGTGTGGCGACAGTTAAGCCACTGCTTTGGGGAGCAAGCTGAGGCATCTGCTCTGTGCTGTGGAGCAGGGCATAGCCTCCAGCCACACGCCAGCACACTGCGCCCTGTCTGGAGCCCAGTCAAGAAAAACTAGGCCTCAGAGCAGGGTTCACCTCCAAAGGCAGTTCCCTTCCTGCAGGCAAGGCTGCTTTGGTGGGCACAATGGAGTGCACATCGGAGCCACCTCTTCCTTAGCTGGCAGCAAGTCACCTGAAGTCTTGGGATGAGGTGAGCGGAAACAAGGCTCTCTGAAATGGGAGCTTCTTCTTCTTCTTCTTTTTTTTTTCATCATACTTTTCAAAACAAATGGGTAGTTGGAAAAAACAGGCGACAAAGTGGGTGGCCACTTGAGATTCAGAGAGAAAGATCAAAGCCCACCAAGAATGAAGGAAGCTGTCTTGGTATAGCCCAGGGAAGAGTCTAGGTGGCCCATGCTGCCTAAGAGGCAGCCAGGGACTGGGCCATGCTGGGCAAGGGGTTTGGTCACAAGCACCCTATGCGCTTGCTCCCCAACCCATACAACAGACTTCAGCTGGAACGAACACCTGCTGTCAGGAGACAGCCAACCCAGCTCTCAGCTTCCCAGGAGACATGCCGCATCTCTGCGTCTGTGTTTGGGAGGGGAACCTGCCCAAGCTCTGCTGCCCCCCAGCCCCCCGGCCCCGACTTCTTCCCTTTTCCAAGAAGAAGCTGGAATCCCTCCCTCTGGACTCAATCCTTCAGGCTTCTGCAATCCTAGTCTGCGGAATCAGCCGGTGAGTGATTTGCGCTGCACTTGCAGGCTGGTCACTTAGTCCATTAGAAGAGCCGCAAGCAACTGTGTGTCAGGGGGTCCCTCAGGTCAGTCCTGGGAGCTCCCTCTGTAAATTCAACCCCCCGACTTTTCCAAACGAGCAGGCTCTACCAAATTGCCTCCCAGGTCCCTCAGTTCAACTCCCGAGTTTAGGAAAAGCAGGATCTTAGAGACCAAAGAGGGCGCGTGACTTCTCTAAAACAATAGCCTGTAGTGGCAGGACCTGGACGAGACCCCTCAGCAGAGTGAGCTCTCACTTCACAGCAGGGCCTCCCAACACGGCAACCAGGAAAGAGGCAAGGTTCTTGAAGCCTATTGGGTTTCTGGAGCCATCAGCCCAACTTAGGGCCAGTGATCAGACCAGTGAGTTGCATTCCAGTAATTTCTTCCAAAGAATTTTTCACCAATGTTCTGCAGAAGCTGAGCAAACCCCCAAGGAACCAGGAACTAGACGTTTTTTTCCACGGGTGGAAATAAAGAGAGGAATTCCAAGACCTGTCTGACCTCCATTATAATCTAGAAAAGGCATACAAAAGACTCTTCTGCCCCTCGGGGCCACGAGTTTATTCCACGTGTGATTGACAATATTTTCCCTTCTAGCCAACACCGTGAGCACTTGAACATAATCCAGGGGTTTGCTTAGCCCAGGTCCCTCTCTAGAACAAGCAGACGAGTTTGAAGGTAAAGAGACACAGAGACCACTCCAGTCGCCTTTCCCAAACAGCAGTTGGGGAGTGAGAGACCAATGCTAAAATCTCAAGACGGCAATCAAAATGCGTTCCACACATACTATCAGCTACCCGCCCAGATCCATCCTGCTCCCCTGTCCTCAGCCTCTTCCCTGCACCTAAGACATGGAGCACATACGCACCGAACACAGACACCTCGCCTTGACCAACAGACTTCCAGGGGCCAAGCCGGTGGATAACAGACCTTTCCAGATTTGTATCTTCCCAAGAGCCCTCTCCCACATCTTACCTGATGAGGTCAATAGGTTGAAACTTATAAAACACTCCATAACGTGCCCATTCTTGATACAGCAGCTAAACAGGAAAAAACGAGAAAACAGATTAGGGGTGGAGCACCTTCCTTGGCCCATCCCATCCCATCCCACCAAGTCAAAGGTGAGCACAGATGCTGGGGAAATTGTCATTGGACACCCACAGAGAAGATATCAAAAAGCAGCAGGCTGTCGAAACTGGCTGCTTCTCATCCCTCCAATAACCAAGGTCACCTTTATCACACTCCGGGGAATCTCCTACGTGCCAAAGGCACAACTCCTCCCTCGTTCTTCCCTTGCCTGTTTAGTCCTGCACAGTGAGTCCGGTCATTCACTTATTTGCTCACAGAACCAGGATCTCTTGAACATCTATTATGTGATCTTTCAGGCACAGCCCAGGCTCGGAGCTCGGGGTCACTGCCATCACAGAGCTTAACCCCTGGTATGGGGAAACAGACGGAATATTTAGAAATGTCATGAAGACAAATAAAGCAGATGAAGGTAAGGAGTGGGGTGACCATTTATACGGCATTGTCAGGGGCGGCCTGAAGACCTCCTGAGAGGAGAAGGAGGACGTCTGAGTTGAAACCTGAAGGCAGTTGGGGAAGACGAATGATCCAGAAGGAGGAGCCCTCCTCCCGAGCAATGCCCTCGAGGCAAGTGCATGTCTCATGAAGAGCAGGGAAGTGGCGCACGCGCAGCAGTGAGCAGAGTGGGAATTCGTGTCATAAAACCCCGGGGCGACCAGTCAATCAGGGGCTTTGCTTATAGGCCATTCTTGGAACTTTGGACTTTGCCCTGAAGGAAGCCATTGAGAGGTCTGCGGCAAAGACACCATCTGACTTAGCGACGGCGTGATGGCTCTGGTGGCTGGGTGGGGAACAGACTGAGCAGGAGGAGAAGCAGGGAGGTGCTGTCATGCTCCAGGGGGGCCCTGATGGTGGCTTGGGCCATGGGAGCAGTGGGAGAAGCATGGAGAAGTGGTGGGTCCTGCTTAGACTATTCGTTTTTCTTTTTTTACCTTTTATCGTGCATTGTGTGAAGGTTCACACAGCAGATCATAAATTTACATTGAACAATTCATACACATTCTGACTCAACTCATACATTGCAAACCCCCCTCAATGCCCACTCTTATCTCACTGCCTCCGCATTTCCTGAGTCCATTCCTCCTTCTCTCCTGACCCTCTGAACTTCATTCTGGGGGAAATGCTGCCTTTTAGATTGGATTTGATTATATATTTTATAGACAGATTTATTGGTACATAATTTATATATCATAGAATTGAATAGTTCAATCATTCAAACATATCAAGGGGGGGCTGTATAATCATGACCACATCCATCCTAGAGCATTCCAGTGTCCCGTGATTGGTTCACCCGCACAGTGAACTGTGCAATCACAATCAGCTCCAGTGCTCCCCCTTCTGGCCTCCATGATTTACTCCCAAACTCCCCTTCCCCTCCTATCACACATCCCCCTCCCTTACATTCCCTGGGTCACTTATTATCATGGTACATCCACTCCTGCGCTTCACTACTGGGAAATCCCATAGAACACAATGAAAATCAAATCACACTAAGGCAGTAAGGATAAGATCACATTCGTATAAAGGCAAAAATACAAATAATCTGTGAGAGGGAGAAGACCCCCATCAACATTCAAGAAGCCAGGGAAGAAGTTTTGTCATGAAACATCTAAGAGACCCTTTCCCCCAGAACAAATTCAGGATGTGTCTATAGGAAGGTCAACTGGCCAAGTATCTGTCCAGCACAATCAAGGTTACAGTGGTCTCTGTCTGCTCATAGGGCTGTTTGGGACTCTTGCTTTGGGCTAGAGCGGATCTGCCAGCAGCTTGGTCTGGCTACATACTTTTCAGATGGTTTGAGGGTTCCCACTGCCCTCCATAGCCTTCTACAAATTGGGTGTTCATAATTTTAGCTCTGATACTTTTCTCTTCGCCATATTTGAATTTTGTAATTGTCAACTTTGGATCACACTAGCTGGTATGCTTAGTTGATTCCTTGCTTAGATCGCTGCTTGTTTGAATATAAGTCTTTAAGACCCCAGTCTCTATTTCAATTGATAGCCAGGCACCATCTTCTTTCTTCACTACACTTTGCTACAGCACACTTATATTCAGGGATCATTTCATGAAGGTGAGTATCGAGCAGGACCATGATGTGAGAACGAATTGGTCTTACGTTGGAGCTCAGATAGTTTAGACATCGAGGCAACAGAATTTACCATCAGATTGAATATGAGCATAAAAGAAAATTAGAGCTTTGCCTGGGGGATCAAAAGAATGGTGATTTCTTTTACTAAAGTGGGAAGGCTGAAGGGGTGAGCCAAGAGTTCAGTTCTGGATCCATCCATTTGAGATGCCTTTTAGGCATCCATGTGGGAGTCCAGAGGAAACAGATGGACATAAGAGTTTGAAGTTCAAAGGACAGTCCACATTAGATATGTAAATTTGAGAATTATCAAGAAGAGATGATTTTTTAAAGTCCTTAAGTGATGGATTCCATTGCCAGAGAAAGAGAGCGAATTAAGTAATCTGGGATCTGGGGCCTACGACATGTTAACACTAACTGCTCTAGGAGATAGTGAAGCCGCAGCAAAGGAGACGGGAGCAGAAGCCAGTGCTGTGAAGCATGAGTAGTGCCGTGGAAGCCAAGAGAAGCACGGGTTTCAAAGAGAATGAAATGGCTAGCAGTGGCACATGTTGCTGACGGGTCAACCCAGCTGAGAATGAACTAGCCATTGGATGCCTTGATTTTAAGATCAGTGATAACCTTGGCAAGAGTGGTTTAGGGGAAGGGTGGAACAAAAACCTGAGTGGAGCACATTCAACTAGTTAAGGGTGGAAACCATGCATCCAATGGGCCAGATAAAGCCATCCTGAGGATAGTTTTCATAGCAACTTTAACAACACTGACTCATGGACACAACTGGAATCAACCCCAGGAGTAAACCTCCTCTCGCAAACCCTGGTCAGCAAGCTTCTCAGATCATCCACTCATTAACAAAGTAATTGAATATTGGACAGTCAGTTCAAGATGACCTAACTGTCCACGCTGAATAGATATCAGCACATAATCATATGCGGAGTCTGTAAATAATTGATTATAATACACTTGCTGTCCTGTGTTGTTTATTCTCCTTACACATCACATCTTCCTATCCATCACACAGAATTCACAAGGAGTTCTGCCTATGGTGGAATCATTGAGAAAAGGGTAGTCGGCATAGTTCCACAACTTGAAGAGTGTCATGGATGTTTAATTGAACATGTAGGAATTGTTGGGATCATTTTCTAAAATCTGGACAAAAAAAAAAGAAAGAAAGAAAAGACTATCACTCTGTTCACTTAAGAATCTTTAAAATCGTTATACTAAAAATGAAATGAGAAAGACGGAGACCAGAAGAACTAGATGGTGCCCGGCCACCACTACCAACTGCTCTGAAAGGGATCCCATTACAAGGTCCTGAGTAGAGTGGGTGGAAAATATGAAACAAAACTCAAAATCACACGAATGGTTAGGCTGACTGATTTGAGTAGAGACTAGTGGAACCCCTAAGTCACTGATCCTTATTTTCTCTTCCAGTTTGAAACGAAACTCACCCCAGGGCCTCAAATTTCAGCCCAACACTAGACGGTCTGCAAGGGGAATCATACCACCAATGATGAATGCACACCTTAGAATAACCAACCATTTAAGGTCAAAAGGATAGTATTTACCCAAGACCAAAGCGCAGAAGGGTTGGGAAAGAAGGAGGGATGGAAACAGGAGACACAGGGAGGAAGTGGGATAAGGGATGGTACCTCGAGGAGATTGCAAGGCATGAGGTGAACCAAATTGAGGATGGGTTATGGAATGGAAAACGAATGATCTGCTCTGTAAATCTTCATTCAAATCAGCATAAAAGGTTTAAAAAAAACAACAACACTGAAATGAGAACTAATGTTTCTACTAGCCTTTCATTGCCATTGTGTCTCTCAACAACTGGAGCATAAAGCCAGAAACTACACAAAACCCAACAGAGCAAGGCTGCATCCACAGTTGCTACCATTTGCCAAGGAAGAAACTCAGGCACAATGTGGTGCGACACAGGTCATGATGAGAAGAGGGTGCTCCGAATTCAGGAGTTTTGATGCTGCTCATCCCGGGGGTGGGGGGGTGGGGTAATAGCTCCTGGAATAAGAGTTCCTATTGTTATGTTTCCATCTCCGCCGCCACCCCACCAGCCCCTCCCTCACCTCGGGTACTTCCCCTGTGCTGGGTTTTGACTCCCTCTCCTGAGTACAAACCCTGGTCTCTCTAGCGCCTCGTTGTCACAGTGGCATCATTTGTGGTCCCAAGGGGGACCGGTTTGCGTCAGGAGATATTGGCAGGGTGCCCCTCGGGGGCTACAGGACGTCACTGCCAGCCTCCCAGGCGCTGACCTCCAGAGCAAATTCCTCTCGAAGTCACCTGCCCAGCCCAAACTGCCACCACCCAGAAGAGGAAACCTAAGTAAGTTCCAAAAAGCCAGGATGACCTTGGTGGCTCAGCCCTCCACTGGCTAAGGCTTCGGATTGGACCCCAAAGTTGCTATGAGAAATCTCCAGAAAACCCCCCCTTTTGTTGTTGTTGTTTTTTCCTGTGAGGGACTCCCAGGTAAAGCATCCCTGGGTCCTTTCCACAGCTTGTGCGTGTAGAAAGGAAGAGCCAAGAGAGTTGTCTGAGCTGGATCAGAAAGGCCTACATGGACACAGAGGGGAGCAACACTAGGGAGCCCTCCAAAAAGAGCTGCTGCTACAGAGCATCAAATGCAGAAGGTGATGGAGCAATTGCACTCGAATGCCCCGGCCAGCTCACGTGTCCTTCCATCGCCTGCTCCTGGGAGGCACGGGGGACAGGTGAAGAGTGATGCGGGGTTTTGCTGTCTCAAGGAAGGCCAAGCAAATGATGCTAACCTCCAGGTTCCAGAATCCCAGAGCAGACTAGAAGTCAAGGTGAAGGGAGTCTTGCTCTGGAGTCTCTGCCTCATGCTTTGAGTAGGGTGTGCCCACGGTGACTGATAACAGGACCTCTCAACGTTCAGAATCTAGTGCCTGCCAATGTAGCTCTTATCAAATCTACTTTCTTCCTTAGAGCTACACCGCGTCCTTTCTTTACTGGCTGCCCAAGCCTGGAAATAGAGCAGGGAGGGTCTGCAGGTCCTATGTAAGGGATAGTTCCTTATTTTGAAGGCCTTGGATATGATTCCAGGTTTGTCTGACCCTCAAACTTTACATCAGGAAGCAACCACTCACAGGGACCTTCCCACCTACTGATGGGCTGGCAGGTAGCAAAGCCAGCTTCCCTGGGAATTGCATCTGACGGTACATCAGCTGATACAGAAAGCTGAGGGTTGGACCCCTTTGAAAGGCCCAGTGTCCCATAGCAGCATGTTGCCTAAGGTTCCTAGGCCTCTCTGAGGTCACCAGGTCCTCTGGGAGCAGTTAGAGCTGAGGCAGGAGGCCAGGTGCCAGCTGGAGCCAACTCAGCAGCACCCCTGCATGTGGGGCGTAAGCCTGGATTAGAGACACTTGGATTCGACTCTCAGGTCCATAGCTGCCCTGCTGTAACCTGACAGGACACTTCCACTGTCTAGGTCTTGCGTCACACGGGAGTCGGGCAAGGTGGGAAAACGAACCCTCCAAAGGGAACCGACGAAGAAAAGGACCCTTCTGGTCAGAGAGGCAACCTTATCAGAAAGTGCCGAGCAGCTCTGCACCCCTTCAGTGCAGCGGTTCTCAACCTTCCTCATGCCGCGACCCTTTCATACAGTTCTTCATGTGGTGGTGACCCCCCCCAACCATAACATTATTTCCGTTACTACTCATCACTGTCATTTTGCTACTGTTATGAATCAGGCGACCCTTTTGAAAGGGTCGTTTGGCCCCCAAAGAGGTCGCGACCCACAGGTTGAGAACCACTGGTGTAGTGGGTCACTTTTTAACCATCCCCCGGAGAAGGCAATCACCTGGAAAACCCAGGGCCAAAGGTTTAGACAATGACGAAGAAAACGGCATTGCAATGCTGTGCCGTGTGTTCCCCCCCTGAAGCTGATTGATGGGAGGGCCTGGGAGCCAGCAGTGGCCAGGCAGACCACAGAAGATGGAGGCCATGCCCTTCACAAGGAACCAGGCAGGCTGGGCAACTGTGGAGCTAGGCACTCACGCTGCAATCTCTTCCTGAAACCCTGGCTTCGAGGAAGGCAGGAAAGCCCTGTTCTCCAGAGACAGGGAGCTCCTCCTTAATTGCCTTCCAGGAAGGGAGAGAGAGAGAGAGAGAGAGAGACTTCCTGCCCCAGTTGGGGCTGAGTCACAGAGATTGCACAATGGTCTGAGGCAAGGGGGGTGGAAGGAGGTGGCCTGTTCTGAGCACCCCTGGATCCCCCCAAGAGGAGCCTAGGCCGCCTCCGGGAGCTCATGGGAATAGCGAGAAATCCCAAAGAAGAGGAAGGCGAACCATCCAGGTGATGGAAAGCTGGGAAACGTGGAGACCCTTGCAAACCATCCCAAAGGGTCCGAGTGAGGCAATTCCACCCTATTGTTCAACAACCCTGCTCCACACCCTCCAACTCCGAATGCAGAAAATTCTCCCTGGTGTCTGACAAGAGCCTTCCTGTAAGCCATCTCTAAGAACGCCCAGCTATTAAAATGTCATAAAAGTAAATAAATGTGCTTCACATAGTCAGAGATTGTACTCTTTTCTCCTTTAGGATATGTTTCGGCACCATCCACATGCCACTGAAACCACAGAATGGATCCCGCCCCGTGGGGAAACTCCCTACCACCATACGGAAGCCATTGGCTTGCTCAACAGGGGCACGGCCACTGGTTGGAGTGTGCACTACAGAGTCCCTCTTAGGCCCCCCTTCACCGCCATGGATGGACAGGCCCGTCTCCTCTCCCAGAAGGACAATAGCACCCCGATAAAGTGGACAGAAAAAGCTGCCACTTCACACATGTGGCTTCTCTCGTCCTCCATGGCAACAGAGCTGCTGTCCCTCACCACAACCCTGGCAGCCAAACTGGAACAACGAAACTGGTCTGCAAAGCCAAGGGCAGGCCACCAGAAAGGGGGCCTCTGCCTTGTAAAGGCACGTGTTCACATGCACTGCACATCCTCCTGACATTGACCTTGACTTTGGGACTTATCCACTACAGTGCCTACTGGCCCCAGCTGGTCTCTCTCTGCCTCCCAGAGTCTAAGGCGGGGCATGCTCTAGGCAAAATATTGGCTTCGGCAAATCCTTTTCTGGAAGAAAAATATTTTCGTTAAAAAAGAATTGTTGTTGTTAACAGTGATCACATATCACTCCACAACGGAGCCCTGGTGGTGCTATTGGGTAAGCATTAGACTGCTCACCCATGTTTGGTGGTTCAAACCCACCAACCACTCCAAAGGAGAAAGTTAAGGTTGTCTGCTCCCCTATAGATTTACAAAGACGTAGAAACCCTATATAGGGTCACTGTGATTCAGCACTGACTCCTGGGAAGTGGGTTTTTGGTAGTTTGCATTGTCTATAATTCTTTTGTCTCCATTAGTGGAGATACAGGGGTATAACTGGCTTCTTTAATAAGCCCCATGTCCCTAGAATTTTCCTGTAACACTCTCCTTTGACTGGCTGGGGGAGGGGGGACGAGGATCCACCAGCCAGAAGGAAGTTTCTTAAGTGGGCAATGGGTGGGAACCATTTAAAGGGGAGGCATGTCAAACTAGAGGGTAGGAGGACAGAAAATGTTCGGGGTAAGAGAGGTGAGATGTGGCGAGAAATACTTCCTCCTTTTCCTTTAAATCTGATCCGGGACTTTTCAGGAAATTAAACACCGTGACTATTAGCCTCAGATAGAAAACAGATGAGGTTAAGACATGGAAATACTACAGCAGATTCCCCGGGCAGGCAGCAAGGGGGCATGTGTAAGCAATCACAGCAGTATTTCTGGAAAAGACCTTTTATGTTTTTAATACTTAACACTTCATAACAGGGACTAATAGGCAGGATCAAAAGTAGCCTGCTCAAAAGGCAACTTGGGGGATGAACGATTTTCCAGACAACAGAGTTGGGGGGAGGGAAGCGTCTTGGGCTTCAATTCCTCCTCCCTCCCACCCTTGTCCACCAGCCTGCCTTGGCTCACTGGAGTTGCTGAAGGCTTCAGCAATCTGGGCGGGACAATGGAATGAAGAAGGTGACAGGCAGAGAGATGGGGACGTCCCTCCTAAAGAGGCTGGGGTGGTCCACAGAGTGCCAGGCCATGGCAGGGAGGAGGGGACACCCATGTTCCTGGTGTCTCGGCAAACAGAAGGAATGCAGTGTCCATGGAGGGTTGGGATGAGAACTGTACTGCCGGAGTCGTGGCTCTCACTGGAGAGATCAGTCTACTAGAGCCCTTCTCCCCTTAACCGTGACCTTCAATTCCTAGCGGCCCAGAACATGCAGCACGACTAAGACCCCCTCACCCCCAAGTTCTCACTCTCCATTTGAGCTGTACCCCACATACCTGCGCAGGGAGTGAAATGAATCATTTTAAAGCGACCCAAGAAAAGCCACCACGGCATGAATCATCATACATTTTTTCAAGCAGGAATACTGGCTTTGAGAGTCAGTTTATGGTAGCAGTATTTATCTTGAAGAAGGTTCCCAAACCCCTTCTCTGCCTCAGTTTCCCTGTCTATAAAACAAAGGATTTGGGTATCCATGTTTCTCAACCGTGGTACTCTGGTCACGTACAGATGGGCTGCTTCTGGGTGGAGCTATTGGGGACATCATACGACAGTAAGGGTTGTTGCCCCCTTCTGGGTACTCAGGGCCCATGGTCTGCCACAGTCATTATGACCATCTGAAAGGCCTCTCACATTTCCAAATGCCTCCCTGAGAGAAGAACATGGAAGAATTGCTGAAATCGAAAATGTAAAATACTGCTACCCAACTTCATACCTCCCCACAATCTTCCGTATCTAAGACAACCGGTCTCCCTCTGCTCAGTGCAACGTAAGTCAGGCTTACCTTTCTGTCGTTCATGTCGTCCCCGGGACTGTCATATTCACCCTGTGGGAGAGAAAGACATGCTGAGCAAAAGCCAAGGAGTTCTAAAACATGAATGTCCAATGGGGGGAAACGTTGTTTTCTTCTCTAACATCTTCTTTTCTTTCATGACGCTTAAGGAAAGAGAGCATGACACGCGTGGCAAGGGGTCTGGTGCCCCATTTTCTGACTCATCCCTACCTGAAAACAAAGATGCCCCCCTTCATATTCGTCAGAGACTGGCCTGCACCTCCTCCCAATAAATGCAACCTGAATTGGCTGTTCCTAACATGGGTGAACGCTTCATCTGACAAGCATCCCAGGACGACGTCATGTCTACCCTTCAATAAAGGGCAGCATGTAACATCATACATGCCTATATGAAGTATGATGGCAGTAGGACGACTGGGGCGCCCCTCTCAGTATCCTATATGGATCACTGCATGTCAGGTGCTTAACTCGTGACCAATAAGGTCAACTGTGGAACCAGGAGACATTCCGTTCAAGGACGAGTCGGTCACACATCATCTTGGAGAATATTGCATTCTATTATGAGGTATTCAAAGCATGACACTCAGTCAAGGGAAATCGTTCTATTTTCTTTACTAAGGAGCCCTGGTCGGCAGTTTGAACTCACAGGTTGTTCTGTGGGAGAAAAGAGAAGCTTTCTGTTCCTATCAAGCAGCGGTTCTCAACCTGTGGGTTGCAACCCCTTTGGTGGTCGAACGACCCTTGCATAGGGGTTGTCCGATTCATAAAAGTAGCAAAATTGCAGTGGTAAAGTAACAACGGCAATTATTTTATGGTTGCAGGGTCACCACCACCTGAGGAACTGTATTAAAGGGTGGTGGCATTAATAAGGTGGAGAACCACTGCTTCATAAAGCTTAAAGCTTTCTAGCCACAGCAACCCCAGGAAGCAGTTCTATTCTGCCCTCAAGGGTCAGATTCCAATGCTAGGAACTGGCGCAATGGCAATGGGGAGGGTTGGGTTTTATTTTCTTTACTTAGTCCAATGATTGCAGGAAGATTTGTAGACTCCTTTTGAAAAGGATTTTACAAAGAGAGCATTCTGACAGGTAGAGTGAGGAGGCATTCCACATCCACGCCAAATCATCACATAAAAAAGAAGAGCTCCCAGGCATTCAGGGCTCTGAAATGAGGTTGTGTATCACCCAGCCATTTGACCTTGACTTCCCTTCCACCACCACCCACCTGCATCACTGTCTCCTCCCCTTAACGGTCTGCGTGCATGTCTGCATGTTCACACTTTCACCCTAAACAGAGTCAGGGAGTCCAGGGAAGGTTCAAACACAAACCAGTTTGTGTGATTGTCTGGGGAAATCCTTGCGGAGACAGACTTTGAGATGAAGAGCAAACCTCAAACTGGGGATTGTTGTCAGCAAGGACTCGCCCACAATTCATGGTCGCCTTCTGGGCAGTTATTCACCTAGTGTGCGCAAGCTGTGGCTTCCAACTTTGTGAAGGACACAGGGAACACCTAGATTATGTTTTGGGGTTTGCTTGTTTTTAAGTACTTACATCATGAAGAGGGTAGGCAGCCGCATAGACATTGTTCGCTATCAGAGAGTTAATACCTAAGGAAGAAAAGAACGTGAAAAAAGTAATTCAAGGGTAGGAGCTTCTCAACTCACCCCTTGTCTTTTGGTGAAAGACAAGATTCTCCGTTGAGAATCATCACATTCTCCTCAGCATCACGTCAGCCGAGACGTTTCGGTCATTCTTATTATAAAAGCAATACTTTTATTATTTCCCAAGCACCAAAGTTCTGTTTCAACATCAAGCATGTTCCCTCAAGGTTGATATTTCCCCTGTCTCTGAGATTCAGAGAGCTCCAGTCCCGTTCCGTCCACCAGCACCACCGTCATGGACACAGACACAGAGGGAGAATGTCTGCATTCAGTAGCATCCAGAAATGCCTATGCATTATTGCAATGACAGCCCTCAAAAGCCTAAGTCCAGGAACTCCACAGAACTCATCCTGGCACTTGCCTTTTCCTTCACAGGGTCGGGCCTTCTTCATGGCTCGGACCTATCTGCCATCCGGGACCATCAAAACCCGAGGTAAGGCGATAGTTGTCCCAATTCTTAAAATGTAGTCAGGGGGCCCCCTGAGAGTCGCCAAGTCCCTTTCAGGGATTCTGCAAAGCCAATACTCTTTTAAAAATCATACTAAAACATAATTGCTTTTGGCTCTTATTCACTCCTGAGTGTGTAGTAGTACTTCCAGAAGCTACGAGTGTTAATTAAGTATCATAAATGCTGGCACAATAGTTAAATGCTTGGCTTCTAATCAAAAGATTGGTGAGTCAAACCCACGGGCAGCCTTGTAGGAGAAAGATGTGGTGATCTGTCCCATAGAGAATACTCTAGAAAACCTCAGAGGCAAATTTGACACGCGGTCTGAGTCAAAAACAGCGCAGCACATGCAATGTCATTTTTATGTGTTTGTGGTTTCATCTCTTTTCTTTTTCTTTTCTAATGTAACACATCTGAACAGCTGCAACTCACCTGAATAAAAACTCTTTGGGTATGCTCAATAAATTGTAAGAGTCTGTTTATCCAAACCCATGGCCACAGATTCAATTCTGACGCATCACGACGCTAGATTGGGTTTCTGAGGCTGGAGATCTTTATGCTCATCTTTCTCCTCAGAACAGCTGATGGATTTGAACTGCTGACTATGTAGTTAGCGGTCCAACACCTACCTGCCTAGGAGTCTAAAGTGGTTTTAGACCCAAAACATTTGAAAACCATACCACCTTTGCATTTGTTTTAATCCCTACAGTATCTCACACATTGACTCAACTAAATCGCACGTAGCAGACTCTACTCAATATGAGTGAACTAAACAAGTGGCCCCATCCCTGTAACTCCAATATGCTCACACCAGAGCCTCTTCTGCTCACCATAAAGTCCTTGGTATGTGCTTGCTTCATTCATGGTTTTATTCAGATACTATAAAGGGGTCTGTAGGTTCTGTCTGAGTCAGATTAGTCTGTCCTGGTCTGCTGGCTTCCAGATGGGAGGGATTTAGCTCTGCCCCTCACAACACCAAGGATCCTGCCTAGCAGGGATCCACAGTGAACCCCAAGGAGGGCTGAGGAAGGGGGATTTTCTGAGACAGTGATTTCCCTTACCTCACACACCCTCTCTGCCCTGAACCATTTTTTCCAGAAAGGCTGTAGACAGTGGTGAGATGAGGGGATCATGGGTTTGGGATGGAAATCCACATAATGTCCAAATGCTCAGTAATCCGCTTGTGCCCAGGTCTGGATAACAACAAATCTAGACACCATCTACTCATTCAAATTCATGACTTTCCACCTCCTCCTCCCACCCTGTTCCCCACAGACAAGTTCCAAGACCACCCAGCCTATCACGTGTCTCCCCTTACTCGTCCTCACGCCTGGCCTGTCTCTGGGGGTTTCCTGGAGGTAGGCTGTCTGGCAGCACCAGGACCCCAAGTGGAGTGGAGCCGGAGAGGGTGGGAGTGGCCACACTCCCAGTGAGTTGACAGCTGTGTGTTTGGGTGCTGCCATCACCAAGGGGCCAGTCCTTTCCGGAGTCTACGTTTCCTCCTCAGCTTGAACATAACACATCAGAAACCACTTTGGGGCGCATGAAGGAGCAGAGAGTGAATACAAATGACAGGCGTGTGGGTCAGATGGAGGAAGGATGCCCTGCCGTCTTGGGGGAGGGGTGCCCCGTTGATCAGGGAGCTGCAGATGCATCCTCCTCAGGAGACCCCGGGCTCACTCTGAGCGGCCCTAATCAGTTCAAGAGCCAGAACCACAGCAGTGGGAAGCCATCCTACAATAATCAAGAGGAGGAGTCCCAGACCAGGGCGGGGACAGCAGGCAGATGGGGGTGTAGTTCAAAACTATGAAAGGGCTGTCGACATGGATAGAGGCTGAGGCATCACAGACAGGGTGGGCCCCAACTGGACCGCACCCCATGCTCTACCCCCACCCTGTCCCTGCGCTCATACCCCATGGTCGCCAGGGCAGCAAACTTGAAGGCACCCCCCACCCAAATTGCCAAGGAAACACGACACAGGGGTTTCACCTCCTCACGCTTCTGCTAATGCTCAGCATAGCCGCTGGAGTCTCACAACCTGATCCCCGCATGCTGCCTCCAGATTCTCAAATCGCTGAAAGTCCAAAGCCACCGGGCCTACCCTTGTCTCACAGAAAGCTCCATTTGTTCTGCACGGTCTCACGCGGGGTCTCCCTTCACTTGTCGGTGTTGTCTGCCTTCAGTTGTGCAACTCCTCACATCCTGCAAAAGCCTTGAGGTCAGAACACTCTCCTCATCTTTCGCATTGACGCTCAGAACTCCCTCACTGCTGGGCACACAGTGAGGGGAGCTGGTCTCTCCCGAGTCATCTCTCCTCCTTGATCCTGGGCACTGCCCCACTAGCCCCACTACCTCTGCCACCCTGTGCTGAAGAAGTGGAGCACTTACACACGGACACGTGAGTCTTTCCTTTAGAACCGGCAGGAAGGCAGCTGCCACACCTGAGTTGCCCTACCTCCTATGAGCACCAAGTTCTTGAACGCAGTGCTTCTCTATCCTCAAGGAGGCGCACCTCCTTCTTTGCAGATGCCACCCTAAGCGCAGTCCCTGTCGGTGGCTGCTGGGGGAGGAGGCCAGACCAGTTGCTGTTAAGTCAATGCCCACCCGTGGTGACCTCATGGGCGTCAGACAAGGATCGGGGTCCGTAAGGTTGGCCACGGTTCACTTTGCTGAAGGAGATCACCAGGCGCATTCTTCGATGGTGCATCTGGTGACCTTGAACGGCCAACCTTTCAGGGAGCATGTGAACCGTTTGCACCCCCAGGGACTCAAACATGAAAGGAGGAGGCATGAGGGGGCAGGGGCAGCACGGTGGAATGTTTCACCCAAGATTGCTTCTCCTGGGGGCCTCTTATTTCACCCCCAGACTTCAGAAACCAAGAGTCTGCCCCCAAACAAGCATGGAAATCCGTTTGAAAGAAGAAGAAAAGAAGGAACCAGTTTTGTTTTTTTTAACCAAAAAAAAATGAAAAGAGTACCGGCTTTGAAAATCGAAATTCTGAATTTTCCCCTTTCTTTTCAACAGAAAAATGGGCTAATTGGTTCCATCGTGCATGATCTATGTGGTCAAAATGGCGAAGCTGTCTTTCCCAGGATGGCATCTAGAGCCTTTCTTCTCTTCCACAGACCCAGGGAGAGGAAGAGAGAGAGGCTCAATCATGTGTCCCAATACTTAAAGGCCAGGATCTTTCCTGTACCCCTGAAGAGAGGCAGTGCCTCGCTTCAAACAGAGTATGAGAAGACGAAGGCTTCCTCACTGATCCCCATCCTCTGCACAGGTTTCTCGCCTCCAAATCTCCATGTGCTTTATACTGGCTGCTTAGAACGCCCACCCCTGCCTCCTCTCTCCACTACAGGCCCCAGCTCTCTGCAGCTGGATCCCACCAGACTGGAGAGCCCTGCCCCTTTGCAGCCATAGGAAGCAGAACAAACAACAAAAACACACTCTAGGTGGGCCCAGACCCCCAGGACTGGTGCTTGAGAGCACACGAGCAAAATGCAAGACCAGAGGACTAGCATTTAGCTTCAGAGATGGTTCTGGCTTTCTGGACACAAAGGCACAACCAAAGCGCAGGAGTTTATGGTCTGCCTCCCAAAGAGAGTCTCATTAAACCTGCCAGGCCTGCTGGGTGACGGGCCCCATGGCTCTGTTCCCTCCAGGCCACACTCAAAAGAAACTTTTATCCACCCGGACAGGTACTTACAGCCATGGTGCTGAACTCCTGAAAACCCATTTGGTTTTCATTCCTCCCAGAACAAGGCCCAGTCCACCGAGGTCCTGCTTTCATCCCTGCACTGCAGCCGGATGCAAATCGAAACCAGAGGCCCCAGACTGTGCACTTAACAGAGACTATATTTACCCATCACCAAATTGTCTTGACGTGTGCTTAATTACTTAAATGCCTTTAATCCCAAGCCTTTTCTTCTAACAAAATATAAACCAGTTCAGCTGGATGAATGATAAACCAGATGTTTACAACACACAACATGGTCTGGCTTTGGTCAAAATAATTGAGACATCGTCTCCTGTGTGGGGAGGGGAGATGCCCAAAGCATACATTTGTTTAAATGCTCTGACACCAAAATGTCCATAAAAAGGCAGCTCCATCCATCTGCAATTTTCTGTCCGTGAAAAGGTAACAATGACTTCCATATGAAGGGCAAGCAAAGGCACTTGCCCTTCTCTGATATGGTCAAGGTTGCTTCCGTCTCTTTTCATGGCAACGTGCACTTTAGAGTCATCGAATAATGGGGTAAACTTCCAGGGCCCTGTTGGCTGACCTCCAGTGATGTGACATTGATTGCAAAGGCCTCAGGGGGCTGAGCCAAGTTTCTGATCACGCACTCGCTTCCAACACCATGCAGGACCCCGATGCACCAGGATAGTCAGTTTCTGGACGTGGTGTGTGCATTGGTACTTACTGCTGTCTCTTCTGAAGGTTATCAAAGATAAGTTTTAAGTTAGACAGTCCATCACCGAATGTCAATCCAACCATAC